GACAGTGGGGGCGGTTGGGTGTAGCAGTGCCCGACAGTGGGGGCGGTAGTGTCAATGGTGTACAATCTGTTTGAATGCTGGTGGAACAGACTCAAAGAGCTGAATGCCTACTTCTGTTTCAGTGGCATCCACGACTATCCAGCTGAACTGGCAGATTGTGTGTAAAATCCCTTCAGTGTTGTGAGTGAGCAAACATTCCTGTGTTGTACAACTGGAAGTTACCAGCACTTTTTAAGCGGCTCCGCATACTAATAGGTTTGTGATAGGGAAGAGAAATGAATGGGACAAAATGACCACGCCCCTCCATTCTGTGCAGGGCTGAAGCTCCGTCATGTTATGTTGGCTTGACATTGCTGAGAGTGCAGCAATGCTTATTAATTGTACAATGTGTAGTGTGGGATTGTTATTATTGTGATCGCAGGAGAGACAAGTGCCTATGAAACAGATATTTGAAATCAGAGTGACTGTAAGGGTCACATGACAAGATTTCACACTTTAAACCCTTTACTGCAACAGCTAAAAGCAACATTTGAGTAAACACTAATTTATAGGCAGCTTATACTCTAAACTACAGTAACCTTCAGCACAACTGAAGCAAGCTATGGTTGAAATTTACAGTCTGCCTTTAGTCATTCTGTTGCAACCAGCCCAGAACCTGGTCTCCTCACTCATCCCTCCTTTCCCAGCCCGGTAACATGTAAACCCAGAAGTGACTGGAAATACTTTCCCTGTAGCCAGGCTCAGTGAATTGCCCGGCCTCTCTCAAATTCTCATGAATTCAGATTTTTTTCAATCCGAGTACAATTTCCTGACTGCGTTCTGCAAGATGGGCAGTAGGGTCAGCATTTTCCCTGCTTCAGGTGCAAAGCTACTTGTACCCGAAGATTTTGCCTCTTAGCTAGCTGAAGGTTGACTTGTATCTGTAACGTTCCATAATAGCTTGGGAATCCTGTAACCCAATGCTACAGTTACTTGGTGTGGGCCTTTTACCTCCTCGTGCAAATTTCCACAGCAGTGTGAATCACATGGGCCTTGTATCTAGGAAGAAATACTAATCAGCTATCATTTTGACACTCCCACCCTACCCACCCCCTCCCCGCAAACTCCACTCTACCTTGGAATTAAATAGACAGTTTAAAGTCAACAGTTTTTAAAGCATGATATTCTTAGCACTAGTCTCTAATTGGACTAGGAAGATGGTAGTCTACGCACAGTCCGTGCTCCCTGACCATTGCTTATGGACGTGAACATCTAGCACCTTCTTTCCAGTTAAATAACCTGCCCCCACCCCCCCACCTTTCACTGTTACCAGTTGAGCTCCCAAGGCCTGTCATTGGGCAGAACTCGGAACAGATGGCATTGTGGCTCAGTGGTTAGCACTGCTGCCTCATGGCTCCAGGGACCCGGGTTCGATTCCACCCTCTGGCGACTGATTGTCTGTGTGGAGTTTGCACATTCTCCCCATGTCTGCGTGGGTTTCTCCCGAGTGCTGTGGTTTTCCACCCACAGTCCAAAGATTATGCAGACTAGGGTGGGCTAGCCATGTTAAATTGAACCATAGTGTCCACGGATGTGCAGGCTATGTAGACTAGCCGTGGGAAATGCAGGGTTAAAGGGATAGGGTAGGGCTGTGGGGTCTGGGTGGGAAGCTCTTCGGAGGGTCAGTGTGGACTCTTTTTGGGCCGAATGGCCTGCTTCCACACTGTAGGGATTCAATGATTCCATGATTTTGAGCTCATTTCACCCCTTTTATTCCTCCGTTTAAGCTCAAATTAAATAGACACTCCCAAAACTCAACTTTATACGTTAATGGTGCCCATGTATTAGGAATGGTAGGAGCTGTCTTGCTGTCATCATCCAGTAGGTCCTGGCAGGGGTCCCCGAGACCAAATGGAACTGGGGCTAGCTGATGGTTACATGTTAATTAAGGTATAATTGGGTAAGGACTGGGTGTGTTTATGAGGGGACAAATAATCAGTGGCTTTGGGGTTTTGGGCTGAGAGAGTTAGAAGAAATGTCTCTCTGACTGGAAAATTTTCTGGATTTTGTCTGACTACCCTTGAACCTCTGGTATCTATCACTTGCATCTGGGTCTGAGAACTGTGAGCTGAAGCCTCAGGTGAGATTACAAGCTCGAAGGCTAGTCACACACCTCCAACTGAGAAAGTGTTGCATATTGGATCAGATGTTAAACCAGGAACCCACAAATTGCTGGTCATTGCTGTCCCCAGGACCTTGCTGTGCATAAATTGTTTGTAAAGCATCATGGGACAACCCGATGACATGCTAAATAAAAGCAACTTGTTGGAATATTGACTGTATCGATCAATGTCAGAAGATTTTCAGCAAAGAAAAATAAGATGTGTTTTGAATGACACTGTTGGATTCTGTCTGGGCTGGCGCACAGTAGTTGCAAGGTATCATCTGGCAAATAACAACATTGTTCCAAGTGAAGAAATGTTCTTTTTGTTTTCCAGCAGGAGGCCAACAGGATGACGCAAGTTCTGAACAGACCTGTGACACTCTGCTCATGTGCATTGTTACAGTATTAAACCAGGGGTTGAGGAATGGGGGTGGAGTTGGTGATGTGCTGAGAAAACCATCAAAGAATGTAAGTATCTTTTTTGCACACTTACAGATGTCATGTGCAACGTGAGCCGAATGAATGCACGTGCACTATGTGCATGGTATCTAATGCATGCTGTGATACACTGCTGCAATAGTGTGGTGTGTCTGTCTTTATATCTGTGCACGCATGTAAATGCACGTGTGTGCGCGCGTGCTACGTTGCTCTCTGTGTGTGTGCGTGCATTGCATTTAGTGGAGGATAATATTGAATTATTTTCCAGTTGGGTTAAGAGTTAAGTAAAACCACACAGTGAGGTTTTTTAAAAGAAGTGAAATGGGGTCAGTGGGGTTGAGAGAGTTAATACAATGAGAGATTTCTTGACAGCTAGCTGATGGTAAGGTTTCTTTCTGATTTTAGTAAAAGATTTATCCATCAGGAGCTGAATTTTTTTTTAATGTTAAAGGCATTTGTTTATGTCCATTGAGAACTGACAAGTCTCTATACGTTTCGATAAGGCATCTTTATTTCCTCAAGGAAATGATAGACGAAAGATTTGCAAGCAGCTGTCAACCATGGGTAACCTTGTTCAAAATCTCTTTGATACGAAGGAAAGATAAAAGCCTGCCTGGGAAAATGTATTGCAGACTTTAAACTGATTGAGCTTGAAGCTTATGTTGAGTGCTTGAAGTTCAAAGGGGCTGTCACCTTGAAAGTGAAATCTGTCAACTGTTGTGTTTGACAAGCTCCACACTGCAGCCGGAAGATTTAGGAACAGGAGTAGGTCATTCAGCCCATCATATCTGCTCCACCATTCAATGAGATCACGGCTGATCTAATAATCCTCAACTCCACTTTCCTGCCTTTTCCCCATAACAGTTGATTCCCTTCCTGATTAAACATCTCTCTGTCTTAACCATGAATGTACATAATGACAAAACGTTTGTAGCCCTCTGCACTAAGGAATTTTCCACAGATTCATTATAAGGCCATAAGATATAGGAGCAGAGTTCGGCCATCTGGCCCATCGGATCTGCTATACCATTCGATCGTAGCTGATATGTTTCTCAACCCGATTCTCCTGCCTTCCTCCCGCAACCCTCAGTCCCTTTATAATCAAGAACCGATCTATCTCTGTTTTAAAGACACTCAATGACTTGGCCTCCACAGCCCTCTGTGGCAGTGAGTTCCACAGACTCACCATCCTCTGGCTGAAGGAATTTCTCCTCATCTCAGTCTAAAGGATTGTGCCTTCACTCTGAGGTTGTGCCCCAAGTTCCTACCCTCTCCTACCAGTGGAAACACCTTTTCCACCTTCGTTCTATCCAGGTCCCTCTTGTATTCTGTAAGTTTCAACGAGAATCCCATTGAGTACAGACCCGTAGTCCTCAACTGCTCCTCGTATGACAAGCCCTTCACTCCCGGGACCATTCTTGTAAACCTCCTCTGGACCCCCTCCAATGCCAATGCATATTCTTCCTTCACAATGGGGCCCAAAACTGCTCATGATATTCCAAATGTGGTCTGACCAGAGCCTTATACAGCCTCGGCAGTACATCCCTGCTCCTGCATTCACCTCAAAAGGGTTAGAATGCTAACATCGCATTTGCCTTCGTAACTGCCAACTGAACCTGCACGTTAACCTTAAGAGAATCCTGAATGAGAACTCAGTCCCTTTTGTAATTCAGAATTCCAAAGCCTTTCATACTAAATGCACATTCTCACCCTTTCCCACATTGTATTGCATCTGCCACTTCTTTACCCACTCTCCGAGCCAATCCAAGTCCTTCTGCAGCCATCCCCGTTTCCTCAACACTATCTGTCCCTCCTCCTACCTTTTGCCATCTGCAAGCTTAGCAACAATGCCTTCAGCTCCTTCATCCAAATTATTAATATATAACGTGAATAGGATCAACAATGACCCCTGTGGAACTCCACTAGTCATCAGCTGCCATCCTGAAAAAGACCCCTTTATCCCCACTCTCTGCCTCCTGCCAGTCAGCCAATCCTCTCTCCATGCCAGGACCTTGCCCCTAACACTGTGGGGTCTTATTTAGCAGTTTCCGCTGTGCCATCTTGTCGAAGGCCTTCTGGAAATCCAAATAAATCACGTCCACTGGCTCTCCTTTGTCTAACTTGCTCATTACCTCCTCAAAGACTTGTAACAAATTTGTCTGGCATGACCTCCCCTTGATGAAGCTGAGCTGATTCAGCCCTATTTTACCATGCACTTCCAAACACACTGCAATCTCATCCTTCATGATGGATTCCAAAATCTTACTGACAATCCTCTCTGAGAGAAGAAATTCCTCCTCACCTCTCTCTTAAATGGGCAACCCCTCTTTCAGAGATAATACCCTCTTGCCCTAGACTCCCCAACAAGGGGAAATAATATTTCCTCATCTACCCTGTCAAGTCCGCTAAAAATCCTGTGTGTTTCGATAAGTTTGACTCTCTTTCTTCTAAACTCTAAGTACAGGCACAATTTAGTCAGCCTCTCCTTATAAAACAGGTCCAATCTAGTGAACCTTCTCTGGAGCAATGACACCTTTTCAGTTTTACAATTGCCCAGGACTATCATGAGATATCACAACAACCTTATAAACACTGGTTGAGTTTACTAAGCCCGTGATTAGGGACTGAAATAACTCCACAGAAACCGTCACCAAGTCAACCTTTATTCACATGTGAACAGTCCTTTACTATAGTACTGCCTTATTCAGAGTCAGGTTTCTTTTTCTTTATTCATTAACTGGATGAGGAGTTCGCTGGCTAGGTGTTGTCCATCCCTAATTGCCCAGAGGGCAGTGGGTCTGGAGTCACTTGTAGGCCGGACCAGGCAAGGATGGCAGTTTCCTTCCCTAAAGGACATTAGAGAGTATCTCTGACATTCACTCTTTTTATCTGTCAGCCAGGGCTCCCTGACTGGGGCTGTTAATTTGGTCCAATCAGGGAACTCATTCCATGAGGTCCACCTGGCTAACCTCGCTCCAGGCACCTCCCAGCGGTTACAAGATGGGCCTGGAGGAATGGTGACTGTGAGAATAGAATTTATTCCAGCAGTTGGTTTCCCAAAAAAAAAAACAAGGGCAGAGATTAGAATCTGAAATTGTTGAGCTGAGTCGGGATGGCTGTCATGTGCCTAGTCATGAGATGAGTTGCTGTCCTGAGCTTGCTTTCGCTGAGTTACAGTGCTACAGGCAGAAGACAGAGAGGACAGTGTCAGAGCATGGCAGAGGAATAAAATGACAGGTGACAGGAAGGTCAAGGTCACATTTGCACACTTACTGGAGGAGTTCTACACAATGGTTACCCAGTCTACCTTTGGTCTTCCTTGTGACAGACCACATTGAGAGCAGGGAACATGGAATCCTACATGGAAAGGAAGGGAAACTGCAGTTTCATGTGGAAAGGACTGTTTGACTCAATAGATGGTGAGGGGGCAGCAAGCGAAAGGGGAGGTTTTGCACTTTTTTTGGGTGCACAGCGGAAGGGGTTGTGGGAAAGGGAGGCGGTGTTTGGGTTGGTTGAGGAATGGAGAAGGGTATCACAGAAAGAATAGTCCCTTCCCATCCCTGACAAGGGAGGGGAGGAGATGGAGGGAGCTGACATTGTTCTGGATCCATTGAATGGTGGTGTGGAAAGTAAGAACCAAGGGCAACACTGCTGTTGGGAGAGAGATTCAATCATCATGGCCTAGAGCCCCCTCCACCACGTGGAGGGTCAATCATCGATTGAGGGAAAGGACATTTGGAAGAACAGATGCAACAGAGACAGAGAAACAGGAGACCTGGTCCCTACAGAATGTGGACCAAGAGGAAATCTGATAAGGTTTCGGGAGTGGGTGGAGCAGATCTGGAGAAAGGGAATGTTCCGTGTAACACATTAAAAGGTCAGGCCCGACGAGGACCCAGACCGGTTCCCATAGCAGCTCGCTATTTAGAGGTGGTGGAGCCACAGAAATAGCTGTACAATGTAAAGCTAGTTACACTGGGCAGAGGAGGATTGAGTGGGTGGGGAATGGTTGGACTTTTGTTCAAGGGTCGTCAGGAGAGAAACTATATCATTGCACCGGGTTAGTTAACCCGACATGCTGACTAAAGGTGGCTGATGGAGGAAAACTCTTCAAATTTCAGGAGCCCTTGTTTGTCGCACGTGTTATCTATGATCTTCTGTTTTTCTTCATCGTCATCATCATCGTCCTGAACTTGATCTTTGGTGTCATCATCGACACGTTTGCTGACTTGAGAAGTGAGAAACAGAAGAAAGAGGAGATCCTCAAGACCACTTGTTTTATCTGTGGTAAGTGAACATTGAAACCATGGCCCAAAATGGGACAGTGAAATTCTTGTTCCTCTTGTTTATTGTTACTGCTGGGTGGGTCTGTGACAGAACTCTTGCCTCCAGACTCTAAGGTTGTGGATTTGAACCCCACCTCAGAGATTTGAACCCATCCTCCACACAAATGCTCCAAAACAGTTCTCAAGTGGAGCTGCACTGTCAGATGGGCCATCCAGGGGAGGCAATGGCCTAGTGGCATTATCGCTGGATTGTTAATCCAGAGACCCAGCTAATGTTGTGGGGACGGCAGCTGGTGGAATTTGAATTCAATATAAGTCTGGAATTAACAGTCTAATGATGATCACAAATCCGTTGTTGATTGTTGGAAAAAAAATGTAACGCCCTTCAGGGAAAGAAATCTGCCATCCTTATCTGGTCTGCTCTGGTCTATATGGGATTCCAGACCCACAGCAATGTGGTTGACTCTTAATTGCCCTCTGGGAAATTAGGGATGGGCAATAAATGCTGGCCTGAGAATGAATAGAGAAAATATTCACTGGGAGGAGTATCAAACACTTGGACATCAATAATCCTCCAGCAGGAACGTTCTCCAGTGTGTTGCAGCCAATGTTTATCCCTCAGTCAAAATCACAAAAGGCAGCTTCTCTGGTCATTATCACATTGTTGTCACGGGAGTTTCCTGTGTGTAAATTGGTTGTTGTGTCTCTCGTACTACAAACGTGACTTCATCAGCTCTAAAATGACTTGGGGAGTCTTGGGATGCAGAAAGATGCTACATCAGATTGGAATCACTTCTCACGGAAAGTCTGCTGAGGCCAGTAGTCAGTTGAAAATTCCAGAACGGAGAGGGGTAGATTTTTTTTTTTTGGGTTAAGGTTGTTGAGAGTTGTGAAACCACATTGGGGAATTTGAGTTCAGGTACAGATCAGGCATCTTCTCATTGAATGATGGGACAGGATAAATGGCTCCCTCCTTCCTGTGGTGTTAAGACTGCTGTATCACTGCTTCCCAAAGCTCCATCCACATTCATTAAAATAAAGGAATGGGTATAAAGTCCTGAAATCCATCTCCATTTCAATTTTATGATTCCTCATGAAGGGAAAGTCCAAATAACTCTTTAACCTTTGGTATGCAGTTGATGTAGAAATGAAATGAAAGTGCATTTAGTTTTCTTTCATCTCCTTCTGTAGACTTTTTTTTAGAATCCATCGCTTCCTATATACTAAAGAATGTAATTCGTTGTCTGCACAATGTGGAATCGATGGAATTGATTAATCCGTGTTGATGGTGTGCAGTAAAATTAATGTCTTGAAATATACGCAAAGTCTCATGAAGGATTTTGCACACTCATCAATCCCATTGTACCTCCTGGAGGTGTCTCGGCTGCCAGGTCTTTGAGACCAGGGAGTGCGGAGAGTGTTTTTTTGGTTCTTGGCATGAGATTACCCAGAGTGATCTCACATCATAAACTTCCACCCACTGTATATTAAACTTTGAAAGCACTGTTCACAGCTTTGGTAGTGTCCAACATGCAAGTTCCTGTTTATTTGGCATGCTAAGGATGAAATGAAATCATGGAACAGCTTCATCGTAAACAGGAATGAAGCCTTTAACTGAATAACTTTGTTCATTATGTCCTCTTACTTATCTGCTAATGGGTGGGGTGATTCGATTGGAATTTAGGCATGCCTCTGGAAAACTGAAAAGCACAATAAAAGTCTTCTTATCAAGTCGTAGAGTTGTATGGCATGGAAACCAGTCCTTTGATCCAACTCATCTATACCGACCAGATATCCTAAATTAATCTAGTCCCATTTGCCAGCATTTGGCCCATATCCCTTAACCCTTCCTATTCATATAGCCATCCAGATGCCTTTTAAAAATGTTGTAATTCTACCAGCCTCCACCACTTCCTGTGACAGCTCATTCCATACATGCACCACCCTCTGCGTGAAAAAAGTTGCCCCTTAGATCCTTTTTAAATCTTTCCCCTCTCACCTTAAACCTATGCCCTCTGGTTTTTGACTCCCCCACCCCAGGGAAAAGACGTTGGCTAATCACCCTATCCAAGCTTGTCATGATTTTATAAAGGTCACCCCCAGCCTCTGACACTCCAGGGAAAATAGCCCCAGCCTATTTACTCACTCCCTATAGCTCAAACCTCCAATCCTGGCAATATCCCTGTAAATCCTTCTGAAATATTGACTTCCCTTTCTAGAAACTTGAGTTCCATTTTAAATAACAAGGTGCACGTTCTCATGGGGAGCAAAAATATCTGAAGCGCCCTGGGCTTCAGTACATCTGTAATGTTAGTACAAACCAGGTGATTGTGAATTGGTATCTCACTTTCTGTCCTCTGCTCCTAACGAATATTGAAGGCAGTGTAAAGTGTTCTGGATTTGTTAATGCTAGTTCCCATCTCCGCCCAAGGTGCATTTGTTTAGATTGTTTCAACCACAGACCACGGCTTCCTCTGGGAAAATCTCCAAATAGTTACAGTATAGGACAGGGTGCCTTAACCAGCCAGTATCAATGATGTCAATCAGCGTGCTCCAGCAAATCACAGTGCAAACTGGAGGAGCAACACCTCATGGGAGCAGGAAAGTCAACGTTTCGGGTCGAGACCCTTCACCAGGTGTCCTCATGAAGGGTCCTGACCCGAAATGTCGACTTTCCTGCTCTGATGCTGCAGGGCCTGCTGTGTTCCTCCAGCTCCATGCTGTATTGACTCTGACTCCAGCATCTGCAGTTCTTGCTATCTCCAAGCAACACCTCGTCTTCAGGCTAGGCACATTACAACCTTCTGGACTTAAAATGGAATTCAACACCTTCAGATTGTGAACTCACTCTCACTCCTCCCCTCTCCTTTTAGCTTTACTAGTTGCATCTCTCTCACCATGTCCTCGCCGACCTCAGTGAGACTGTCTGTTCTTTCCAGTCTGGCTGTTAGACTCACCGATGTTCTGCCCTTCTCATATTCCAACCACTTAAACTGCACTATCAACTCCCTTTCTTCCCCCCCATCACCACGCACCCCCCACCCCCCAACTATTGCGTAAATGCTGCCCCTCCACATCAGCTCTGATGAATAGTCGAGACAACAAGGTGCAGAGCTGGATGAACACAGCAGGCCAAGCAGCATCATAGGAGCAGAAAGGCTCACGTTTTGGGCCTAGACCCTCTAGGCCCGAAACATCATCTAGGCCCAAAACATCAGCCTTTCTGCTCCTATGATGCTGCTTGGCCTGCTGTGTTCATCCAGCCCTGCACCTTGTTATCTCAGATTCTCCAGCATCTGCAGTTCCTACTATCTCTAATGAATAGTCGTCTAGATTTGAAACGTTAGCTCGCTTTCTCTCCACAGATGCTGCCTGACCCACAGCGATTTCTAGCATGTTTTGCGTTCAGTACCTGCTCTGTCTCCACCCAGAATATACTGACTTTGTCACATTGTGCACCTATCCGGTGACAATGATTGTCCCAGTTCCATCAGCTCATTACAATACAGTTACAACTTTTTTTCCTGATTGATTTTGAGACGAAGGTGATGTTTATGGTTTGTCCTATTCCCCACTCAATTCCTAGTCGCACCACCACATTTGGAAGCAGTGTGGCTGAAAAATTAACCATAATTCCAGTCAGGTTTGTTTGTAGATTGCAGAGCGCAAAAACAAAATTCACCTGTCACTAAATCTGACAAGAACAGAAGGTGCTGATGGAGAAACTCAGCAGGTCTGGCAGCTTATGTGGAGGGAGAAACCAGAGTTAATGTTTTGAGTCCAGTGACTCCTCTTCTGTTCTCTCTCCACAGATGCTACCAGACCTGCTGAGTTCCTCCAGCAATTTCTGTTTTTGTTTCAGGTTTCCAGCATTAGTGTAGACCTTTGTTTGACTAAATCTGACAAGTATGACTCAAGTTCCTTTTTGAGAATGAACTTCCTGTGGAGTTACTAACACACACATACACACCAGACTAAGTATCATCTTTGGGAAATGTGGTTAAAACAGGACGGATAGTTCACCTTGCAGACATAATCATGTACCTATTTTCATTTTTAACATTAAAATTCCTATCATCACACACCCCATGCAATGTGCCCGGATAAACTTGTCTCACTGTAGTTATACCCTCCAACCAGTAGCTGCAGCACCTCCACTGCCAGGATACTAATTGCAGACGATACAAATTTAGATCTTTTTGATAGGCTTTATTTGTTGCTCGCTCCAAGTTATTCCAACAGAGTGGCTACCTTAGAGGGCAGGTTACTATCAACCAGTTTGATGTGGTATTGGATTTACATCTAATGCAGATCAGGTAAATCTTCCTTCCCTGAAGAACCTTAGTACACTAGTCACTCACCAAGCCTTCTTTGATAGCACCTTCCAAACCCACGACCACTTCCAACTAGAAGGACAAGGGCAGCAGATACATGGGAACACCACCCCCTCCAAGTTCCCTTCTGAGCCACTCACCATCCCGACTTGGAAATATATCACTGTTCCTTCACTGCCGCTGGGTCAAAATCCTGAATTCCATCCCTAAGGGCATTGTGGGTCAACTTACAGCATGTGGAATGCAGCAGTTCAAGAAAGCAGCTCACCACCACCTCCAGGGTAATTAAAGGTGGGCAATAAATGCTGGCTCAGCCAGTGATGCCTCCATCCTGAGAATGAATCTCAAACTTTCTGTTTTTCAGACAGCCTCGTGGCCCCCTTTTTAAATGATAGCAACTTTCTGCTTGCCCGTTTCAAAAATGAATTCAAATGCTCAAACTGCTGGCGTGGGATTTATCCTTGGATCAACAGTATCTCTGGATTAGTTCAGTAAATCACCTCCATAGGAAATGATCATATTTAACTTGACAGAGCCTAGATTTCTAGTAAAGCAATATATCTATTGCACCTCTTTCTGTGTTCATCATCAATTTAATGGATCTCATTATCTTTCTTCTTCAACTTGTTCCAAGTTGTGTCTGGAAGACTTCTGTAGCAAACCAAGT